CAGCAATGTAGCAATAAGACAATGGACCTTGAAGCTTACCCGAGACACATGACATAATGTCTAAAATGTATTACAGCTACATGTGTGAAAAGCTCCACAGAAATAATAATAATTTTAAAAAGATAAATACTGCAAGAAACATTGGTGTCAAGAAATCTATCTTCAGGAGGACTTAAAATATATTAGAAAAATTCTTTACAAATATGTACCCACTAGTCTTATCTGTCAATTCCAGCACAGGTAGTTTGAAAAATGCTATTATTCCTGCCATAAAAAGAGTCATGGTTTATGATCAAAGATTTCCCAAGAAAATTCCAAGAGGAACCATAGACGTGTAGGCAATCCCTCCTTTTAAGTGCAGCTTCCAATTTCAATTTCAGTTCTTCATCAGTCTTACCAATGTGAAAGCCTCCTTCACCGTTCTACTCAATTCAAGCCAAACACAGCCCTGTGGGATTCCCTTGCCATACTAAATTGAGAAAAATCACATCTCTTTAGGGTTCTTGAGCTGTCTAAGTACACTCAACAGTGACCACATTATGGACTTCAGTAATGTAAGAGCACAACTCAATTACATAGAAGTCTTAATCTGCTCCTTCATGCAATTTCCTTCATTTAAAAGCACATAAAACCTTTATTTTTTCCCATAGCATCTTTTATTCCTAACAATTACAAATAAAAGAAACTAGGTTTCCCCCTCTCAAAAAGTCTACAAAGGAATATATGAGACACAAAATTCAACAAAGAATATTTTGATGGGTACTTCAAAAACATTTGGTAGATACTCTTCTCACAAGTTCCTCAATGCCAATAAATCTCCCATTTGTTAAGATCAGTATCATTTCCCTTCTCAGAACCCCTTGAAAGCAAGCCTTTGCCATTTTGAACTCACCCAATACTTAACATTTTTCTAAAATGATCAAGTCACAAAATTCCTATTAAAAGACTCAAAACAGCTCAGAGTTAGATAGAAAGTTGATATATTACCTGATTCCACTCAGGGGTCATGCTTGACCTTTTGGGATCGATATGGAGATGCAAAGTGGCAAGACAACCATCTCACCTCAGAGGAGTTTAGAGTCCAGTGACGTGTTTCCCCTGGATGGAGAAGGCATGACCGTCAAATGAACATGGCCAGGTTCTACCTCAACTTTACTTAAATGCATCCTAGGGAAGTATCATGCATAATAACACTTGAGAACTACTGCTCTAGTAGGTCTGAGATGTGGCACAAAAGAAAAAAAAATCAGAGAGATGCTGAATAAGGGCTAAACAGGGGCCTGTTTTCTAGGGACATTTAAAAAAATGTAATCGATACCTTCTTCCCTCATTAATGCCAGATATTTATCAGAAAACACTGTTATCTCTTAGCCTTATCCAGACATTCTTCAAAATTAAATTCTCCACTAACTTAGATAGTGAGCTATCAATTTTATAATAGAAATGCTTAGCGCAGAAACCTAAAATCTCCAGTGATCTACCAATCTCCATAAAATGCCTGATTCACTTGACATCAAGCGTGGACTCATGTAGTTCATGTACCACACATCTCAGCCTATTTACTTCCCAGGACAGCAGAGTTTATAAAGAATAGTACTTTTCATAAATTTTTTTCCTTTGACAGAAATACCCAAAAAAAATCATAAACATAAAAAAAAGTTGTTTTCAGAAATGCAGGCTATTTGGACATTAATATTTTGTATAAGATCTAGCACTTTGTGTACAGAAAAATCACATGGGGAGTGTCCAGAAATACAGATTGTAGAAGAGTCTGCCTTGATAGAAATAAGAGGGGTCATGGAATTGTTAACAAGCAACCCAGCTGATTCTGCTGTGAGTGATTTTGAGAGTGTTTGAGAAAACATTCCAGAGATTTCAAGATTTCAACTACCCAAGTGCAAAGCTAAACCTCCCTTTGAGTCTAAAAAAAAAAAAAAAACTTGACACAGTAGATTGTCAATACATGCATAGTTACTTAAAGCAATCACAAAAGGGAAATGCATTTACTGAATCAGAGCCCATGTTCTTACTTATATCATAAATTTCCATCCTTCAAAATAGGAGGTAAAAAAGCAACTTAATGTAGGCTTTGCTGTTCTTCTTTTTAGACAGTACGTAGAACACTGTGATTACTTACTACTAAAGTCAAAATATGATGAAAATGTGTGTATAACAGGGTAGACTGCAGGTAAAGTAAACAAGCATTGTTCTCTGGCCAGTAGCAATAATCTGAGAAATATAATTCTGAAGACTGTATAAAATAAAACCAAATGGTATCTGTCCTTGATCACTCTTTATGTTAGGATTGCAATTTCCCATTCTGACAGTAATTAATTGTGGCCAAATCAAACTCTTATGATGATACCTAATAACTAATAGTTCACAGAGAATGGAAATATTTTCATCCTCACTTCCTTTGGGGAGACCAGAAATGACTGATTTCTGTGATTTTGGAAGCATGTCTTTATATATTTATATAACATAAAAAGGAGCAGTGGCTGCTATTTAATGACTACATGACCTTAAGCAAACTATTTAATCCCTCAGATGCTCAGTTTTCACAGCTATAAAATGGGTACCCAGGTCAATATGGATTCACAGTCTACACTCTTTCCATTCACCATGATGCTCCCAACCCCTCAACACATAACCAAAGTTTATATGGGAGGATCACAAGTTTTTTTGTTTCTTTTGTTTTGTGAAAGTGCTCTGTAAACTGTAAAGCGCTATACAGAGGAAGTGGATTATCATTAGTCTTTTATGAAGCCCAGTGGTAAGGATGCAAAGTGACCCAGAAAAATAAAATAGGGTAGACAAACTTAATACACAACACTTATTATACATATAGAATATTCCCTGCACGGTCTAGATAGGAGTCAGTAAGTATTGAGGGAGTAAAGAAAAATGCCAAATCCAGGCATGATACCAAGAAGGAATAAATATTCCTAAAATCAAAGATAGTTTGATTCAACCATGTAAGCTGAGTGTCCAAAGAGCCTAAGATCATAAATTAAAACAATATTCAAGTGTAAAATATGACTCACAATCTAATAAAAAGATTATATTCTTACCTCTTCAGCCTTTCAGATGCAACACTGTGGGCATAGCAGAATCTGGGTGAGGCTGTTGAATTTTCCCTATAGCTGTTAAATCTGCATAATCATCCTAGCAACGTTAAGAGGGACTTTGGCTACCTAAGCTCTGATTTGGATCTTTAAGGCTATTTAGTGACATCCTGAATTTTGGTAAACCAGACTTTATCCTCTAAATTCCCTCCTCAACACACATGGAAACTGGGAGAGAAGGGTAGGAAGGAAGGAAGGGAAAAAGTTGTTTATTTAAACGATTATTTGAGTCCTTTTGTCAGTTTCCTAGAATGCATGAAATAGGCTTCAAAATTAAATATTCATTACATTACATACAACTTTTGACAGCTATTTATAGGATGAGGCAGAGCCATACTGGGAATTAAGAAATTTTGAAAAATCAGGAGAAAAAATGTTTTCTGGGTGGGCCTTAAACAGCTCCCCCACTCCACCACCCCCCCCCACTGCAAAAATATTTTTATACTGGGTAACACTTCCAAACAGGGATTTTTTTTTTCTATTGTTGAAATGGAACTACAAGTTTGCTTTCAGAGCCACTGAAATGCCCAACTGTTGGGGGGAAAAAAAATGTTTTCCACTGGCTGCTTGCCTTTCCAATCCCCACACAAGCTCTCCCACTGGCCTTTTTCTCCAGGAGGGCCCCTGGGGCTGTCTGGTGGAACTGATCTTAAAACCACTTTGTGCAGGGAGAACTAGCTCCTTCAAAATCTGAGACCACCCAGAAAATCTTGCAGATCTTTGGCAAATATGTACGTGTTTCCTCCGTATTTGATTAGCTAAGTGGTCTGATCTTTCTGGGTGCCCCCCCCTTTTTAAGAGGGAAAATGTTTGAAGAAACATTGCTAAAGGAAGAAAATCTTTTCTCACCAAAAATCTGTTCATGTTACGTGTCTGTGTTCATTGGCAAGACCACAAGCACGCTAAACCGTCCAAAATGGGCACCAGCGTTTAAAACTGTGTTTGGGGGGCACCTGCTGGAGGCGAAGCTCAGGACAACCCTCCCCTCCAAACGCTGCCCAGGGTGAGACCTGTCCCGGGCCTGGGACGGCGTCGGGTCCACCAGGCCAGCGGGCAGCGGAGGCTCGGGGCGCAGGCCCTGGGCGTGGGGTCCTCTGCCGCGTGCCTCTCCTCACAGCCTGGTCTCTCACCTAGTAGGTGCTCAATAAAAGCCTGTGGGCCGCAGGAAGCGGGGTACTGTCCAGCGTGCCCTGAGGCCCGGAGGCGAATTCCCGGGAACGCAGTTTACTCAGTTCCACTATCTCCTCACGTTGGCTGAGGTCACTGGGCCTCGCCGCCACGGCCCCAGCAGGGGCGCACAAGCTGCGGGAGGCAAGATGGAGGGAAGTGCGAGTG